CCCACATACAGACCGGTTCCCGCTCACTGGCTGAGCGAGGGGCGGGCACAGCACCGAGGGTTACGATCCTGTTGCCGGTCCCGGTCCAGTACAGGCGCGACACTGAGGGTTGCGGTCCGTTGCCGGACACGGAAAAAAGACAAAAAGGAAAAAAAAAAATTTGGGTTATTTGTCTTTTCATTGTTGAGTTATAAGCGTTCCTCATATATTCTGGATGCTAGACCTTTATAGATATATGATTTTCAAATATTTTCTCCCATTCTGTGGGTTGTATTTTCACTGTCTTGATGGTCTGAATGTTGGTGTTCCCAATTCATATTCATATGAAACTTAATTGCAAACACTATAGTATTAACAGGTGGGGCCTTTAGGAGGTGATTAGGTCATGAGGACTTCACCATCATGAATGGGATTAATGCCCTTAAAAAAAAAAATGCCTGAAGGAGCTTGTCTCTCCCTTCCACCATGTGAGGATGCAGCAACAAGCTACCATCTATGAACAGGCCCTCACCAGGCACCAGATCTGCTGGTGCCTTGATCTTGGACTTGATAGTCTCCAGAACTATGAGTAATAAGTTTATGCTGTGTGTAAATTACCCAGTCTATAGTATTTTGTTATAGTAGCCTGAACAGATTAAGTATCCTTTGAAGCACAAAGGTTTTAAATTCTGAATAAGACCATTTTAACTATTTTTTCTTTTGTTGCTTTTGCTTTAGATACCCTAGCAAAATTTTAATCAGTACTTTTTTACTCATTGTAACCTTCCTTTCAATGTCTTTCTCAGAGTTCCCATTCATGGCAGGTACCAGTGTCTGCCTAGTTCTCTTATACCATGCAGATGAACTTGCTTCCTACTTTTTGAGGAAGTTGAGATTATTTGCCATAAATTCCTCAACTTCCTTTGTCTCAACTTCATAAGTTTCTCTCCTTCTCTACTATTCTTTCTTTTCTGCCTTCATATGATCTCAGATCTCTGTTGCCTCATTAAAGAAGAGGAGTTTGGGGGGTGGCTTTTTCCAATTTTATTTTTTCTTTAACCTACCAACCTCTTTGACTCCTTCCCTTTACTTTTAACCTTGAAAGAGCTGTTTCACTTTATCTTAACATATTACAGTAACCCTCTCAGTGCTCCCTAAGTCCATAATCTCCCACTTTGTATACACATTTCATCAGATGAATCTTTCCAAAGTGAAGTTCTTATCATCTAACTCTCATGCCCTAGAACTTTTGATGACTCATTTAATATAAGTTGACTGTAGAACTACCCAGCCTAATATTCAAAGCTGTCTGTAACATGTTCTCTCAACTCTGACAGATATGGACAATTCACTCTTCCCTGAACACCACCACCATCTAGTTTCCTGCCTAATGCCTGATCCCCAGACTGCCTGTTTTCCTTCAGCTCTTCCTATGGAAAGTCTGAAAACTCAGTGCCTTGAAGTCTCTTTTGGTCATCTCTTCCCCTTCCACCAGAGGGCACACTCCAATCTTTAAATTGCTGTCACACTGCAAGCTTCTATGTGGCCCTTGTCATTCTGCCTTAATATTATAGCTTTTGAGAAACAGAGTGTAAGATCTCTGAAGTCAGAGACTAGTGGCTTACCCGTCTCTGAACTCTCTCCAGCAACCAGCCCTGGGCTTTAGATCTAGTAGGTATTTCTTACACTGATGTCTTGATTTCTTGAATTAAGTATTTCTTGAACTGATTTGATTTGGATTGAAAACGAGAATGTGGGCACCCCCATTCCTGAATAAAAATCTGGAAAGATAAGGCAGAAAACATGGGGT